TTGGTTAGTTATTTTTTTTTAGTATATGGCTATATCTCAATATACCTTAAAGCCCCCGTTTTGATGAAGACGGGGGTTTTTTAATGAAAAAAACGACATTATTTTTTTCTCTTTAGTTTTAAATTAAAATTCTTTTGAGTACCAGGTTTATATTGTTTAGAAGAAAAAAAATTTCAACAATATTAGGGTCCGTCATAAATTTAGAATCCAAAGAGGAACCTCTAAAACTCATTTAAATTAAAAAAAAAAGTAAGGTTCTTTTTTCACCAAAAGACATCGATTCGCAGCTCAGACAAATCAAATTTCAAAAATTTTTAAAATCGATCCACCCTAATAAATATATATATATATATATATATATATATATATATATATAAATATATATATATATATATTTATATATGTATATATTATATTTATATATACATATATATATATATTTATATATATGTATATATATATATATAAATATTAATAATGTATTATATATAATAATATATTATATATAATATACATCTAACCTAACAAGTTATTAACAATAGTAGTAATGTATATTAATAATAATAATAATATATATGTATATATATATATATATATATATATATATATATATATATATATATATATATATATATATGTATATATATATATATATATATATATATATATATATATATATATATATATATATATATGTATATATATATGTATATATATGTATAAATATTAATGTTAATATATATATATATATATATATATATATATATATATAATATATATGTGTGTGTGTGTGTGTATATATTTATATATATGTATATATTTATATATATACATATATCTATATCTATATGTATATATTATATATACATATATATATATATATATTTATATATTATATATATATATTTATATATATGTATATATTTATATATATACATATATATATATCTATATGTATATATAATATATATACATATATATATATATTTATATATTATATATATATTTATATATATGTATATATTTAAATATATAATATATATATATATGTATATATATTATATTATATATATATATATATATTTATATAAATATTAATTAAGTATTATATATAATAATATATTATATATAATATACATTAACTCTAACCTAACAAGTTATTAACAATAGTAGCAATATAAATTAATAATATAAATATATATATATATATATATATATATATATATATATATATATATATATATATATATATATATATATATATATATATATATATATATATATATATATATATATATATATATATATATATGTATGTATATATTTATATTACATACATTAACAAGACATTAGTAATCAAAACCAATATTAGAAACTGTTTTGGCTGTTAATTGAGTAAAACATCAAGAAAATGCTTTTTTTATGGTTCTTGAAAATATTTTTTGCATTACCAAATTGTTTATAAAGTTTTTCAGCTTTGTTTATACACTTTGTTTGTTACTTTGATTTTTTAGCGCCAGAAATTTTAAGTTTTGATCCGGTCACATTTGCCAGTGATATGTGGTAAGATTTTAAATTTTAATATCAATATTGCCAATGATATGTTTTATGATATTTATTTTTGCTTTGATAATTACAATATTGTAGAGTTGTATATATTTTTTTTTAATTCTGATTCACTCTTAACAAAGCCTGAATTATAACAAATTATAACAAGCAACCACTATTAAGTTTCGAGTTACTAAAAAAAAAGAATGGAGTTAACGAAAAAGGAAACAATTGACAGAAGACTTGAAAAATTGTAGGTTGTATGAGTCAGCAATACATGAAAATGGGAGAGAGTTCTAAAGGGTTGAGGTGTAAGGAAATAAACTAGATGAACAAAAGTTTTTAGAGCATGCAGGCACAAATACAGTTAAAAAATGCGACTTTGCTGAATGCAAGAATGAGTTTCGGTTGATGGAACTAGAGATGATAGCTCCTTTAAGCAGCAGCCATGATAGTATTTGTAGAAAAGAGAATGAGATGCAATTTTATGAGGATGGGAGAGAGGGTCAAGCGTGGCAGAAGCAACCTTAGCAGATGCTAATTTAGCAAATTGTATATATGGTTCCCATGAGAGGTCAGTAGTGAATGATAATACAAGAAGACATGTGATAGAGTTGCCATATAGGAATGTTGACAGTATTGTAATAGTTATTTGCAGTAAATAAGTTTTATTGAAGTTAAAATTCACTAGCAACTGCAAGAATCTGTTACAGAAGTGAGATTAGATTCAAGATCACCTATCTGTTCTAAACAATCAAAAAGAGAAGACTTTTCCTCAAGACAGGAGTATAAAGTTGAGTCATCAGTAAATAGAGCCACTTTAAATAAAAGGCTGTCAGACAGATCATTAATGTAGATAAGAAACAAAACAGGACCAAGGATAGAACCTTGAGTTACCCCAGAAGTTACTGGAAATGAAGAAGAGTTTTGGTCTTTGTGGATGATTTTCAAAAATTTTCTCAGATAAACCATGAGAAGCAAGCTTATGGAGAAGAACAGAATGCCAAACTTTGAAAAAAGGTTTCAATATGTCAAAATCAATAGCCCTAGCCATGCAGCCTCCGTCTAATGCATGATAAAATTTTTTAGTCACAGTAGTTAGAAAATAAAATATGTATAATAATTATAAATAAAAATCAAAACTAAAGAAACCTAAGTTTTAATTTTTGTTTTGTGTGCTATAGAAAACAGAAAATCATTAAACTTTTTGATATTTTTGGTGTGTCCTGCAAAATAAATTTAAACATATCAAAATAAATAAAACACCTAAAATTTAAGCAGTTATCATCATTTCACTGTTTCAAAATAAAATATAAAAGTGCTATATAATATATATTGCAATATTGAGCAATATATAATATATATTGCTCAATTTTATTTTCCATAACTTTTATTCCATAGCTTTACCATTTTAAAAGTTTTGTAGTTAGCAGCAAAAATGGTGTATCTTCTTAGTACTAATATTTTTTTGACCATCAAAACCTAATAATAGTTGTATATGTTAAACAATGGAGTGTTACAAAGATTCAATGGCAAAATAAGGTTGTGGCTTACAATAATCACAACTCTATATTTTAGAATTTTTTTCTAAGAGGCTTTTTTATGTAAAAGAATTTTTGTGTAAAGAAAATATATAGTTTTATAGTCTTTTTTTTTAAGTTTAATGTCTATAATTGTGTGATTCAATCTTCTTGTATGGTTCAATGTTCCACACTTGTGTGATTCAATGTTCCACACTTGTATGGTTCAATGTTCCATATCATGCCTTTTCTTATTTAAATATGACATGAAAGAGTTTTCTTATTTAAGTATGACATGAAAGAGTTTTCTTATTTAAATATGACATGAAAAATATTTAAACAATTTTTAACAACTAATCTTTATAATTTTGCTGATCTTGCTAAAGAAAAAAATTTACTATTGGTCTTTTAAATAAAAAAAGTGAAAAAAAAAAAGAAAAAAATGGGCATGTTTCTTCCTATTTTATATGCGTTCGTAATTAAATCCTTATGAACAATTATCTTCAGCAGCGTAGAAATTTAAATAAAATAATAGTTGTTTTTTAAGTTTGGTATTTATTTGTTTACATATTTACATGCTTGAATATTACATGAACTAAAGTTATAGATGTAAAATAACTAAAGTTATTAAAGGCTTTTTGCATGAAATTAGAAAGTATTCATACTTCTTAATTTCATTTTGTCAAAAATGGGGTTTTTTCAAACTCAGCCTCGGCCCCAGTTAAAAAAATGGTTTTAGCAGGGGTTATTAGCCGGGGCTACAATATTTTATTTTACATATATATATATATATATATATATATATATATATATATATATATATATATATATATATATATATATATATATATATACACACATACACACACACACACACACACACACACACACAGCCCTCGGGTTTATGAAAAGTGAGGTTGGCAATATTTTTTTGACTTTAATCTGGTCAGCAAAAAAAATTTGATACAAAAGGTTTTACAATAAAACATAGAAATGAGGACACAGATTTTTTGCCGATCTAAAACACTTCTAGGTTGGTATTGCCGAATGCCGACCCTAAATCTAAGGGCTGTATACAATATATACTAGGGCTGTATATAATATATATATTATATATATATATATATATATATATATATATATATATATATATATATATATATATATATATATATATATATATATATATATATATATATATATATATATATATATATATATATATCAGTGGTGTACACTGGATTTTTAGATGTTTGAGTTTTGATACTTACACACATTTTGCAAACTCCAAACTTTTGTATGTTCATACTTATGTCAAATGAGAATGTTTTGCAAAAAGTTGTGGTGATTGGAGCTTGGGGACAAAAAAAAAACAATTTTTGGGCCCACCCAGCCCTTAATGTGGGAGCAACAAGTTGATAAAATAGTTTCTTTAGTATTTTTATCTAAGTTTATATTCATCAACGAATTTCAAATTTCATGCAATAACCTCTTAGTTTTTAGTTTTTATGACACTACAAAGTTTACAGCACCCTCAAATTGAGGGGGTTAAAACTTTATATGGTCATAATTTTCGAAAAATAAGAATTTATTGGATGAAATTTGAAATTTGTTGATGAATATAAACTCAGATAAAAATACTAAAAAAATTATTTTATCAACTTGTTGCTCCCACGTTAAGGGCTAGGTGGGCCCAAAAATTGGGTTTTTTTTTGTCCCCAAGCTCTTATCACCGCAACTCTTTGCAAAACATTCTCATTTGACATAAGCATGAACATACAAAAGTTTGGAGTTTGCACAATACCTGTATGTGTCAAAACTGATAGCAAATATAGATAAATACAGATAGATAGCAAGATAGATTAACAAATGAAACCTCTATTGTAAATTGTACTTCAATTTGTAATTCCAATAGTAATGTTAGGTCAAAGAGTAGTGAACATTTGAAAGGTTCAAATAAGACATTTTTGACATCAATTAGTAAATGTTGTCCTGATGTGATGCTGTCATGTTTGTATACTTTGTCGTATTTGTTATGCAACATATTTGCATAACAAATTTGATGAAGTTATAAGTTTTTGTGAAATTTATAATCCTGATGTTCTTTGTTTTACAAATAGTTTTAGTTCTATCTCACAGTCAGGCAACTGACTAAAAAAATAGTTCCTTGTTGAAAATCTTGACATTCAAGTATTATTCTAAATGTCAAGATTTTTAACTACTTAATAACATGCTTATTATTTTATGTAATAAAGTTTCATTTCTTATACTTATAATATATTTGTATTTATGCTTATGCTTTTAAATTATTATGACTATTAAAATTAAATTTTTTTTAATCAATTATAATTTTTAATTGTTTTTTGATTCTTGATTTGATTTTTGTTATCCTGCAATTAATAATTTCCTAAAGTATATGTTCTTGAGCACAATAATTGGTAGGTTTTTAATCCTAATTTTTAAAAATTTTGGACTATTGACTTTTTGTCTTAATTTAATCCTAATTTTAATCCTAATTTTAAAAAATTTTGTACTAATAACCCTGGGCAGGTAAGTCTGCTTAGCCATGGTAAAGACAGTTTACCTAAGTGAAGAAAAAAAATGGTATAAAAATCCAGATTTCATTGTGGGAGGTTAGGATGTTAGGAGTTTGGGTGGGTAAGAGGAGCTCATAAATCTTTGATGGTAATTTTCCTAGTGGTAGTATAACTGTCAAAACATGTGCATCAAACCTTTTTTAAAAAATGTCCTTTAAATTCCTCTATTTTTATTCAAAATTTTATATTCTTGCAAAATACTCTAAATTATATGCAAAATCTAAAATCCTTTTTTCTCATATTTAAATTTTGTGTGACCACCCAGCTCCGCTAAATGCGGACTTTCCATTAAGAAGTGGAGTTGTAGAAGTGCTTTCTCTGAGCAAATAAGTTTGCAGTCTGAAGTCATTATCAAAAAAAAATCTAAAACTTTACTGTATTTAGATTTAGTTTAAATTGTATTTAGATTTAGTTTAAATTAATAAACTGAAAACTAAGTGAAAGATGTTATCAAAAGTGAAAGATGTTATCAAAAGTGAAAGAAAAATCATTATATGTGCGCTTTATATCAAATGTCTTCCTTTAGTGCAATGTATTAAAGTTTGAATAGATCTCTGGATTTCTGTCTAATGTCTCTAGTTTGTCTAATTTTTACTTTTTTAACAAGATCTTGTCAAACAAAAACTTTTTCCGCATCCTGTTTACTTTTGATTGTACCAGTGTCCTTAAATCATTTCACAACGTTCTGCACTGTTCAGAAACTGTTTTGTTTTATACACTAGAATTTTCAACAAGAAAGTACAAAAATATTTTCTTGCTTCTTATATTGATTCGATAACATTTCAATTAAAACTAATTGTTTTTGATAACGCAGTTGTTTAAATTTTAATTACACTATCTAATGACATTTTAAAACATTTAAAAGTAATGCACGATTTCTGTTAACATCACATCAGAACACACACAGATTTTTTCTGGTACATGTCTTAATAAACAATTCAATGTATTCAATGTTCATTGCTTTTGGAATTTAGTCTTTTGGAATTTATTTATGTCATTCAATCCAAAATAAAAAATAATGCTTGCAATATAATGCATACAAAATAATGAAAAAAATGCGCATGTATGCAATAATAAGTTTATGAATAAAATTACATAAATATATATGTATATATATATATATATATATATATATATATATATATATATATATATATATATATATATATATATATATATATATATATATATATATATATATATATATATATAAATACAATGAATGTGTGTTTAGATAACATCTCTGATGTCACACTGAAATAGCTTGCTGCCTGGAGCTTCAGGCTATTTCAGTTATGTATATTTATATATATATATATATATATATATATATATATATATATATATATATGTATATATATATATATATATATATATATATATATATATATATATATCATTAAATATATACACATATATACAGTAAAGTGTGTCATCCTATTTTTTTTTTTCGGATTGAAAACCTTATATAGAAAAATTGAATTTTTTAATTTTCTAAAAACTAATATATTTATATATTACTAAAAAAAGCTTAGATTAATAAATCTGAAATGATTAAATTACAGGGAATCATGATTTAGGGTTCATTTAAATTTGCGGAAAATTTCTTACAAGAATAGCAAAGTTTTGCTTGTGGTTGTATATTTTTGACGGTTTAAATTTTTTTTTATCTATTATTATTAAAACTTTTATAATAGTTTCAATAATAATTTCATTAATTTTACTAAAATAAAATATTTAAACATTTTTTTCATTAAGATCAAATCTTTCTTTGACTGATAAGTAGACATCAACTGTCTTGAGAAATCTCTCTTTTCAAATCCTTTTTTAATGAAAATAAACTTTACTTCCTGCTTCTGTTACCTGTTTAACTCGTCTTTTAATTGAAATATAATCTGATTTACTTTTGTTGTCAGACCACAAGTAAGAATAAGCTCTTAGGAGATAGTTCAGTCAGCTGTATAAGTTGCAATAGATAAATTATTTCTAGAGTTATTCTAGTTCTCACATTTTTATCACCAGTTTTTTGTTACCGGGGCCTCTAAATTTCACAATTAACTTTACCTTTTTTTAATTAAAATTACCGTTCTTTCTTTACCTTTCATTCTCTGAGCAGATTCTCTACATTTTCAGGTTTGTATGATGTACTCAGACAAAGCATACCACACTGAACGTCAAACTGTTGACATAACAATCACAACTACTTTACTTGGTGAAGTAAAAATCTGCTACTTGGTAAAGCCAAATCTGCTGTTATATTTCCACCTATAATAGCAGAGATTATTTTATACCCCTAATCTGATCGGAGGATAAATTTTTGATTACTTCATCGTTAAGAATAATAAGAGGATTTTTGACACCATTTTTTTGAAAGAATGGATTTAATTTCCAGAGCAGTTACGTCATTTAACAATTTTCTAATCCTCTCCATTTGTTGCTGCTCAGAGATCAGAGATCTCTCCATCAAGAGTTGTCATTAGATGATGCAGAGGAATTCATTTGTATGGAGTGCCCAAACCTGCCAGTTTAGCTTTCTTTCTAATTTCACTTCCAGCCAATGTATTGCTCTGCCTGACCACCCTGCATTAACACTATTAGAACGACCACCTATTGCCTTTAAGCTTTTATCTGTACCATTATTTTAAAAAAATTCATATATTTTTAGAGTGATTACTACAGCACGTTTCATAAGTTTTTAAACTTTTTAAGATGTGAAATGGAACAGATACCTACAACTGGGCTCTTGACATACTGTATAATGTTTCTCTTTGTTGTTGCAGGATACTATTTAGTTGAACTTTTATATTATTAATTCTGCTATCAAAAAAAAAACACAATCAATAATGTTGTTGAGTATCAAACTCTATAGAAAAAGACTGCATAATTTTTTTCTTGAGCTCGCTTGACTTTGTTGTGATCAATAACTAATTTGGTATCGTCTTCTTTAATTATTTCTGCATCCATCTAAGCTGCTGTCATAATTATACAATTTTTTCCTGTAAGCCTGTACCATATTGTATGCTTGCTAAAGCCATGTTGGAAATACTTTCATAATTGCTGTTTGTTATGCAATATTCATTACTAAATAGTTTCTCTGTTTCGCTAAATTCAAAAGTTTAACATGAATTTTTTTAGATTTTGTTTGCTTTAAGTTGAAACAGGCAGATATTTGTAATATAACTAATATTAATTTTACATAGGGTTTTAATTTAATAAACTTTTATTTATTAACTAATAGTTATTTAAAAACATAACATATAAGTAATACAATAAACATAAAGCTATAAAACTTTTACCTCTTCCTTTAATCTTCTTTCTTCAGTTTTATGTTTTCTTCTTTCAGCTTTTTGTTTTCTTTTAAGTCTGCTAATTTGATGTGAACAGGTAGTCACTATTTTAACTTTTTGCCCAAGTATAAAAGCTAACTCTTTATTTGAAGTAATGTGGGCTTCATCATTACATTCTGACAAACAGTTTTTCCTTTGACAAGTAATAATTTGGCAATTACAATTCATTATATCAAACAATTTGTTAATTTTATCATAAACTTGACAAATTGTATATCCTTTGTCCATACTTTATCCTTTAAGCTTGCTTTAACTTTAAGTAGTCATTGTTCATTAAGTATTTTACTGGATAATTTCTTTTATTTTTGCTTCTTTCTTGTAAAAACAGACCGTATCTAAGAGAATCTCTTACTGTTGGTAACTCAGATACAAGAAAATCTGTTCCAGAATCTATATATTCTGAAATCTTTGATCCACTCCTTTTTCTAGTTCTTGATAATATTGACTCTGCCATAATTAAATAGCAAATTTCAAAATTTTGCAAACTTTTTACGCAAATATTGTTTTTTAAAATAATATTTCTTGATATAAAAATAACATAAAAACTATAAAAATAACATCAAAACTATTAGTTTGACAATTTATAAATTAGCAACTTTTTATAACTTTGATATCACATATCACAGATAGATCTCAAAGCGAGTGGGTGTAAGCAATTACTTGCGTTTAAAAATGTGTGGACGCAAAACAGTATCTGTGGCTAGGGTCAAAGCTAATTATAAAAATTTCCCATAAGTATGCAATTTTAAAATTTTTATTTTATTTTTTCAGTTTTAATTTTAAATTAGTTATACACAAGTTTTCTTTATACTGGGATTTCGCAAAAACTTAAAAAAAAAAAAAATCAAAAAGTATGACACACCCTTTTGAAATCAGAAAAAATCTTATAGCTATCCTTATTTTTCTAATTCCGAGGGCTGTATATTAAATGTTAAACTGTTTTTGGTTGGCATCAGATTAGCACAAAATTTTTAACACAAAGGTTTCACCATAGCAACATAAAAAAAAGCCAGCAAAAATCTCTGACCTTAAGCACTTTAAGGTCAGCAGTTAGATTGGTATTACCAATTTGTTTACCCTAACCCCGAGTATTTTATTTACCTTTTTTTCTGATAAAAATTTATGCTATTATAAATTATACTATTTTAAAAAGACAAATAAATAGAAAAATGTTAAAAACAAATAATTTTTCATTTTTATTTTACTACTTTTTTTTTTATTAATTTTATAAAAATATCAAAAAATTATAATATTTAGGAGCATAGGAGTGCTAACATATGTACTGTAAGTGTTTTTTTAAATTTAAATTTTCTTTTACCAGTTTTTAATAATACCTAAATTTTTACTTGCATTTATATTTTTATCTTTAGTCTTAGCGGATTGTCACCATTTATGGGTGAAGATGACAATGATACTTTAATGAATGTTTCTTGTGGTGAATTTGATTATGATACTGAAGCTTTCCAACAAATAAGTTCTGATGCAAAAGATTTTATCAACAAACTACTCATCAGTCAACCAAAGTAAGTTTAAACAAACTAACAAGTTATGACAAAATTATTATGAATAATGACAAAAACATATAAACTAAAGGTTCATTTTTTAACTTTAAAAGGGTTTTTTAAACAAAAAACCCTTTTTAAAATTAGTAGGGGGTCTATTTTATAAGATCTTTAAGCTAGAAAGTGGATAAGTGTACTTCCATTTATCTAACAGTTTTATTGGTAAAAAGATGGAAGGTACACATTAGAAGAGCAATGGTTTAATAATTTAATACTTAAATACTAGTTTAGTAAAAATTAACAATTTTTATGCTTGGGTAATAAAAGTCTTTAGATAAAGCAAGAAGTTCTGAGGTTTATCAGTCTTTCTTACAATATATATTTAATATTTTTTGTAATTTTTATATTTATTTGTAATTTTAGAAAAAGAGCAAAAGCTAGTTTATGTCTTACTCATTGTTGGATGAAGGTTTTTATTGTGAATGTTTGCTTTTTGTCACAATTCTGAATATTCACTTTATTTTGAAAAATTTATTAAGTTATTAATTTCAACTTTTGCTTAATTTTTATTAATCTATTCTTATCTATTGTTGTTTCTTAAAAACAGACACATCTATTGTTGTTTCTTAAAAACAGACACATCTATTGTTGTTTCTTAAAAACAAACACATCTATTGTTGTTGTTTTTTTTTGCTTTATATAATCATGTTGTTTTTTTTATATTTCTTATAGCCGACTAAAAGTAAAGAGAAGAAAATTAACTTGAATAACTTGAAGAGATATCTTGATAAAAGAAAAGACAATGTATGAATTTTTTTTTTAGTTAATCTGTTTTAGTTTATCTTTTTTCAAATAAAAGTGGTTGTTTTTTTACACCAAACAATATAAGTTTGAAAAATTGTTTGAAATTTAAACTATGAATTTTTTTTCTCAATTTTCCAATACTATTAGGGAATTTAAAAAAAAACAGTATGTTTAAAAAATTATAAATATAAAAAATTTTTATGTTTAAAATAATTTTTTTTAAAGAAGATCAATTAAATATGTAGTCTCATTTTGAAGTATTATCTTCAACAAAAGGTTCTTTTCAAAAAGCTACATGGAAATTTTTTACTCTTTACAATTAAAGTGTTAAAAATTCTTTAAAGTGTTAAATTTTCAACATTCAAATCATATTATTGTACAAAGTTGATACTCAATAATTCAAACTTCTTGGATGTATATATATATAATCAGATTCATATCTTGTCCACTTACGTATTTCTAACAAAATTTAAAAAGTAAATATTTCTTTGTTTTCAAAATAAAGATTTTGTGTTTTCTATACTTTTTAAAGTTTTAAAACTTGGATGTTTATGTTCTTAGTTTATAGTCAAGGGTGTTTACAGTCGAGGGTGTTTTTAGTTTTGTTCTGATTGCCTATCCTTATCCTTTTTACTTTATTTGTAAAGTTACTTGTTATAATATATTTGAAGCTGAGAATTAGATACAGCTTTTTTGAAACAGACTCACAAAGGGGATATTTTTTTTTTTGAATTTATATAGATAGCAAATCAGTTAAATCAAGTTTAGCTGGGAAATTAAGTCAAAGAGTAAGACAAAGTATTTCTTTTTACAAGTCTATTCAACCATGAAGGATATATATGAATAATTATTCTAGGTAACCTTTCAAAACTTTCTCATTCAAAAGTTGCATGTTTTTAAGTTTCTTTGTTTTGAAGTGAGCAAGATTCGGAATAAGTTAGATTTTATGAGACTATTGAAAATAGGCGCTTAACATAATAATCAATGTCAGGTTTATTTTTTGCTTATGTGTTTGACCATATGATACAGAGAACAAGTTCTCTTTATTTTTACAAACTTGAAATATTGGTTTTATCATAAATATATTGTTTGAGTGTAGTTTTGCTGATTTTACTACTCATATCGTCTTAAAACCAATCTAAAAAAAATCACAAAATAAGTATCCCTATTTAGATCTCTGTCATGTCAGTTTTTATAGTGTTTTTAAAAACAATATTTATTACCAAATAAACAATCTCTTAGCTAAATACCTTGAATATAAACTATATTGCTTTGTCAGCATTATTTTTGCAAAAAAAAAAACATCAATAGATACTGTAACATTAAAAGCAGCTATGGGTGCAAGTTTTTTTAAAGATAACATTCCTGATACAAGTCTTGCTCTGGATTATGAAAAAATTGATAGATCAAAGCAAAGTGTCAAAGGAGGCCTGGTAAAGAGAACCATAAAAATGAAGTTCGAAAGAAGTTCAAAGAATATCATTATTGTTTTTGTTCTGAGTCTGGTAGAAAATATTTATTTCGCATAGTGAATAATACAGAGGAGTGAGAAGGTTGAATATCTGTAGAACATATTGAAAAAATATATATGAAAATCTATATGATAAAATAAAACACAGGTTTAATAATTAAAATAGTTGCAACTAGAACAGACTTTTAAGGTTTTTAACACAGGTTTTATTTTTATTTCATCAAAATATAACTTTTATTATTTATACATTGTTAAATATACTGAAAATGAAAAACACCATGTTAAAAGGGCAAAGTCATTTGATATTTAGAGAAGAAACTAGGATTGAAATTAATCTGGATTATTTGTGCTTTACATGCTGACCAATTGTCACTTTTACATTTAATGTCAGCTTTGGATGGAAAAACATTATCTGACTTTCACAGGAAACAATCAAAATCTTATAAACAAAACAACATTTCTTCCTATTGTTAAATATTGTTGATATTTTTGATATTGTTGTAGAGCTGGTTCATCTTGAAAGATTTATTATTTACAGATCAGATTTGTACCAAATATATGTGGTAGCATCAGGTATTTTCCCTGTTAGATGATGGAGATTCAAATTGGCAAACATAATCATGCAAGATGGTTGAATCTCACAAGTAGATTACTTCAAATCTGGTGTTTTAAGTATAGGTTAAAAAACAACAATCTATGTAACTGAAAGTACTAGCAGGGTTCATCATGGGAGTTTATTTTTTTATGTGGTTTGATGTTAACGTGATATACTATCGTAAATAAATACTGATACAAAGTTATAAAGTATATTTGTTAAAAGCTATAATTTACACTTCAAATTGTAATTCATTTATACACAGTAGTATATACATTTATATATTTTAGATAAATAATAGCTGGATTAATGGTCCATCTTTAAACAGCTATCTTTGGTTAAAAACGAGAAGAAATTTGTTCAAGATATTGTTTTGCTACAGTCCTCAGAATTAGAAAAAAATTATAAACTATTTTTGGTTGGCATTAGGTCGGCACAAACGTTTCACCATAGCAACATAAATAGAGGTCGGCAAAAATTGCATTGCCTCGGACACTTTTAAGTTGGCAGTTAGTTCGCCATGATTGCCAACCCTAATTCTGAGAGTTAATAACCTTTTCTGCTTATCTGCCTGGAATACACACAGTTAATTTATTTTTCAGACAATGCTCTGTAGTTCAGATGAAAAAGAAAGGACTTGCATGCTGAAAATTGTTAATGTATGAAAAAGTAAAGACATAGAAAACAAAAAACAATTGAAATAGAAAAGTACCAATGATTAATACTGAAGCAAGCAATATGATAAATTTAGTTTATTGCTTTTTTTATAATAATTTTATAGTTTTAATTACTTGGTAAACAGAGGAGATCATTGAACCAATTTTTGCAGTTTTGCAAGACAAAGTAAAATTTATTGACAACCCAATAATTGTACCAAACTTTCCTGTTCATAGTCAGTTTAATGAACCCATTGTGAAAAAGATGACCAGGTCCTCAATGTCAGTCTATGGAGCTGAGAGAGGAGATGGCTTCATAAGGGCTATATGTTTTATTTTTAGGTTTTGAATATGGGTCATTCCATTTCAAATCAACAGAAAAACCAAAAAAATAACATCCGATGTTTTGGGTTTTACTAATTTTTATGTATGTGATAGGATTAATGAAAACTAGAAAATCTAAAAGTTGGAACTTTTGTCATTAAATAGCAATATTTAATGAACAGAATGCACCAATCTGAAATTTGGTAGATGATAGACAAGACGGATTTAGGTATCATTAATGTAAATTTATGTATCGTCAATTTCCTAGCTAATGATCATTTATTTAATTAAATATAACTAACTATAACTAGACATTTTCAAATCTGCATATATTTTTTTTTCAAATCTGCATATCTTTTTTTGGGGCAGCTAATTTTTTTTTGCAGTTAATTGACGGTATTGCACTTTAATTTTTTACAAAATGTTTTGAAAAGTTTTTTCCGGCTCCATCAAAGTTAGCTGATACTGTTTTTGTGAAAATATTTTTTAATAAACGGCTGATTTTCAAAATTTTGTTAGATTTATTAAAACATTTTTTATTGTCATAAAAAAGATTTAAATAGCGTTTAAGAACCATTATCTGAGAAAGATAGGCAAAATCTGGAAGTGATGTCTTTAAAATCTCTTTATTTTCAGATATCTTATAAAACACAATGAAATTAGGCCACAGTTAAATTTTTTTTCGAAAACTCCCATTATTTGCGGAGATATCGGGGGCCGAAATTTGGCCCATTTTGTAAAAATATTGGTGCATGAAATGGAATTACTACTTTTAGGGACAATTTTAGCAATATGAACTTGAGAAACACATTTCTTTTTCTTTTTTCTATTACTCTTGCTGGATTTCTCTGCTTAAAATAAAGATTCAAAATGTTTAAACTTTTTGTTGTCTAGAAATCACGGTTCAAAACCGCTAAATTTGAAATTTTACCCGTACTTTGACCATTTATATCTCCTAAGGCCATTAGTTGCACATAATTTACTTAACTGTTTTTGAAAGCCAATAAGGTATACATTGAATTTATAGAAAAAAAATTATGAGTATGCAAGAGCCTGAGAAAGAGTAAGCTTCCAAAAATGAATTTTCGCGGTTAATACGCTTTGTTAGATTACAAATAACAATTGTGGCCTTATGTCTGCCATGAAACGTATAAGTTATTTTGTTACCTTAAACATGCATCTTCCAATATCTTAAAAAAAAATCCATGTGCTCAAGCGATAAAAAGCCTAGAAAAGTCCTAGAAATAGTCTAATTTTGCCATATTCTTAACCAACAAAATACTCTAGCAACGACATAGATATGCTTAGCAACGGCTACTTTTACTCTTTAATAGTTAGTACTCAAATTAAAAACAAATAAATAATACATTTTTATAACAAAACTGTATAAACTGTACAAAAGTGCTTGATAAAAATTATTTTTTAAGCTTTTTTAATGTAACAAAATGCGCAACAATAGGTTCAAAGAATGCGATGGCAAAAGTGTAATAACCAAAGTAAGGAAGTGACATTAAAGATACTTTTTTTAATGACTGTAATGATTGCTACACAAGCAATTCCCTTTGGGCAGTCATTTGTAATACTTTCTTTAGACAATTATTAATGATTGCAAGACTATTTCCTTGGAGACACATTCTTCTCGAAGAATTAGCACATGAATTTAATAAATAGCCATAGCATGAGATGAGAAACTACGAAATAAAGTTTTTTTGTTTTGTTATCTTTTGTTTATTCAATAAAAAATAATAAAATAAAAAATAAAAGTTAAATACAAAATGTCAGAGAGCAACAATATAGTCAGTCTCTATGAAAAATGCGTGTATTTTGATAAAGGACAGACTTCTTGTGGCGCTTTTAAGCGTTGGAAACAACATGGGATCTTTCAAATTAATGAATTAACTGCTGACATAAGTAATCATTTACAAGTACTAAAGGTATAATTTATCAATTAATATATATATTTTTAATTATAAGCAACAATACCTCCAACAAATAGATGACAAATTTAACATTACTATTTTATAGTTACCGCAGACAAACCAGTATAATGAAAAAACTCTAATTGAAAGTCGATTACAAACTTATCTTTCATGCGATGACTGGTTATGTGCATACCACCGTTTTTCTTTTGGTATTGGATGGAAGCCGCCAAACAGATGTCAATACCCAAGTCATATATTTCAAGTTGGTAAAAAAGCACCAAAAATTAGATCCATACCTTTGAATACCCTTGCTACTTATAATAAAAGTAATTCATCGCTACCTATTGGAGCCGTATTTTGCTTCAAGCACCTAAAAACTATTTCTATAGATAATATTATTGACATGATAGAACCAATTCCAACAGTAAAGTCTAGTTCTTATGTTGATAAAGTTTATGTTCCAGATTTAGCAATCATTTCAGATTAGACCATCGAAGAATCAAAATTAAAAGCTAGTTCTTTGTGTGAAGCACTAGGAGCAAGTCCACTGTCTTTTCACATAACGCAAAAAACATTGGACTTTCCATACCAAAGAAGGGTAAGGTAAAAATATGCCGAATGCCTCAAGAAAAAATTGAACATTTTTTGGAATTTTTATTTTCTCGAGGTCTGCTTCAAGATGTAGCATATGGTATAAATAAAATAAAGTTTGACAACGGAGAGAAACAAAAAGTGGCTAATGCCATTTTGATGATGAAGTTTAGCCATACAATCACATTTTATAAAGAAATTTGCCTAGAAACTAATTATGTCCCTATGTCAGATAGTTCTTTATGGAGAATTCTTTGTGGAATAAAACCTTCTCAAAGGAAATCTTTAGCTGGTCTTGATGATGTTACAGCAGCTGGCATGAGCGGTTTTCAAACATTAATTGCCATTTCTGAGAAGTGGAAATATAAAAATGTTACTAAGTTTCTTGAAAAAGGTAAAAGGTATCTGAAGAGTAATTATCCTTCCAAATGTAGTGAAAATTCAACTTTACATAGTCACTCAACTTCATTTGCCCTTTCGGATATAGATCCGGACTTAAACCAATCAAACATAACCGCTGACGATGAACAATGCATTGACTGTACTGACCTCATTTCAGTAATCAATCAGGTTCGTGAGTTGGTTATACAAAGTGAAGATGAAGATCTACTATATGATTTAAATGTGGCTACAGAAGATGTTGAAGCCTATATGAAACATCAAATTCGTGATGCGCAGCAAAAAATGGCCAAAATAATGGCTTTTGAGCAACTTGATGAGGAAACAGGATTTTGGCTAAAGGATTTTTGTCAAAAAATATTGCCCGCTAAATTCCGTGAAGGCCAAAAAGAATATTTTGGGAAAAAAGGAGTGACTCTACATGTTGATGTCTTCTTCTTCTATGAAAATGGTCGAATGAAAAAAAAAAGTGTATTTTACTGCTGTATATAGATGTGAGCAAAGCCTTGTTGATGTACTCTGTCTCGCTGATGTTGTTTTGGCCAAAGTTAAAAATGATTTTCTTTATTTAAAGAATCTTTATGCTAAGTCAGATAATGCATCATCTTATCATGGAAACTTCTACTTAGAAGCCCTTTACAATGTTTGCAAAGCAAAACAATTTTTCCTTAAAAGGTATGATTACAACGAGCCTTCGCGTGGAAAAGATCAATGTGATAGAGAGTCAGCAGGAGCGAAATGTGTCATTAGGAGTTTTGTTGACGCAGGAAACAATTTATTGACTGCAGAAGATCTTTATGAGGCTCTTCATAATGGTAAAGGAATTCAAAACGCTGATGTTGCTGTAGTTATAATAAATTCCAAAGCCTCTATTTTATCAGGATCAAATCTGATTCCCAACATAAGCAGTTATCATTCTTTTCAGTTTTTCCCTGATCGCATGATAATGTGGAGATACTTCCGAATTGGTAAAGGTAAAAAATGGAACTATACAAATGTGACATTCCATACTTCAGTTGAAATTGTTAAGCCCTTTAGTTCGACTTGCAAAATTTATACTGCCCCAACAATTTCCAAAAAACCACGTGTTGATAGAAGAGTTAACACTTTAAAGTTTTGTACACAATTTGGTTGCACTGATTCATTTTTTGACAATGAATCATTAGAAGTACACTTGTTATCAGAAAACCACAATTTTCAATCTGTGAAGAAATCAATGGTAGACAGAGCAAAACTATCTTATATCAACAAAATGAAAATTTCAAACCTAAATTCTTATGATTATCTGCCGTCATCCCAATCTGTCATTAAAGGGATTGAAAACTTCACAGACATCACTGGGTGGGCATTACCAAAAAGAAAAGTGTTCAGATATTCTTCAAAGCAGAAAACATTGTTAATGCAGATGTTTATGTCTGGAGAAGAACAAGGGAAAAAAATGAGCCCAGAGCAGGTTCACCAGCAGCTGAGGACAAAGTTAAAGCCAAGTGAATATGTGACAACTCAACAAATTCGATCATTATTCTCTAGGCGAGTAAATTTACTTCTATATTTACTGATACCCAAAGTATGAATGATATAAAATTTAATTTTATTCTTTTCTTGAGTTTTAAGATAAATATTTTGAATTTACCTTCATGCTTCAAGTACATTTTTTTAGATGGAGTAAACAAAAAAGAGAAGGAAAGCTAGTTACCATTTTTTGTGAAGATGCTAATCTAACTGATGACATGATTGATCTGACTGATGATGCGAGACATACAAGTCAAAATAAAGATGATGATTTAAACAACGATATTCAGCTCATAGCAAAGGAGTTAGCAGCTGATTTTCAAATTGGTGATTGGGTTGCTATTGAATATAATATGCAGTGGTATCCTGCAATAATTCAAAGTGTAAGACGTTATAACATCAAAATATTTAATTTTTGAGTATTAGATCTTTTTTATTAAGTTATATAATTATTAATTTATTAACCACAACATTTAAATGTAAGAAATATTCAGAAAGCACCAATGATTAGACGTTGTTTTACTTTTAACTTAACCCTGTAGGTCAATCGTGACAATGTTCATGTTTCTTGTATGGAATATTCTACTACACCTGGAAAAAACTGTTTCAAGTGGCCAACCAAGGAAAATATTCTCCAATATTTATATCTTGACGTTATTTGTAGGATTGATGCACCAACACCAACTAATCAAAGAGGGGACTATTCTCTCTCAATAGACGATATGTATAACATAAAAATTCAGATTGACAGATAAACTTCTTTAAAACTTTATTTGGTTTGCTTTCTTAAACAAGTTGTATTTGAAAAAACGTTTATCCGAAATTTACATAATTGTTTTAACAATGATATAAACACTTCAAAGTGTGTGATGTTTGGATCTTTTTCTCATTAAAGAAACTTAGAAAATAACTTTTATCAAGCGCTTTTATACAGTTTTTTGTTATAAAAATGTATTTTTTATTTATTTTTAATTAGAGTACTAATTATTAACGAATTATAGAAGCCGTTGCTAAGCATATCTATGTCGTTGCTAGAGTATTTTGTTGGTTAAGAATGTGGCAAAATTAGACTATTTCTAGGACTTCTCTAGGCTTTTTATCGCTTAAGCACATGAATTTTTTTTCAGATATTGGAAGATGCATGTATAAGGAAACGAAATAACTTATACATTTCATGGCAGACCTAAGGACACGATTGTTATTTGTAATCTAACAAAGCGTATTAACCGCGAAAATTCATTTTTGGAAGCTTACTCTTTCCCAGGCTCTTGCATACTCATAATTTTTTTTCTATAAATTCAATGTATACCTTATTGGCTTTCAAAAGCAGTTAAGTAAATTATGTGCAAGTAATGGCCTTAGGAGATATAAATGGTCAAAGTACGGGTAAAATTTCAAATTTAGCGGTTTTGAACCGTGATTTTTAGACAATAAAAAATGTAAACATTTTGAATTTTTATTTTAACCAGAGAAATCCACTGAGAGTAGTAGAAATAAGAAAAAGAAATGAGTTTCTCAAATTCATATTGCTAAAATTGCCCCTAAAAGTAGTAATTCCGTTCCATGCACCAATATTTTTACAAAATGGGCCAAATTTCAACCCCCGATATCTCCGCAAATAATGAGAGTTTTCGAAAAAAAATTTAACTGTGGCCTAATTTCATTGTTTTCTATAAGATATCTGAAAATGAAGAGATTTTGAAGACATCACTTCCATATTTTGCCGATTTTGTCTATATTTCTCAGATAATGGCTCTTAAACAATATATAATAACCCACTCTTTATTTGATTAGCAGAATGTAAAAACAACAACCCACTCTTTATTTATTTAGTAAAAAAAAAAAAAAAAACACCTTCAAACAATATGTAGTAACTCTTTATTTGATTAGCAGAACGTATTAAAAAAAAACACTTTCTTTTATATATAGTGTAAGCATTTAATCTTCCTTGTTTTATCCAAATTGAAGCCAATTTTTATCGTTTTTTTTTAAGGCCACCCTGCATTCCACTATGCAGCAGCACATAGAGTGCTGATGCCTGAGTGTCATTCAAAGAAAGATTTAGTGAAAATGTTATAATAAAATTTTAACTTTTTTTAATGTTTTAAAGTTTTACTACTAGTAAAACATATATTTCAAGCAAAATATTTAGGGGAGGAGGGGGAGGTTGTTTTTGGAAGAAAAAGGCAGTTTAAAATAGCAAATAAAAATCTTACTTGATTCTTATAATACTTGGGTGAATCAAAAAGAGTTTGGAAAAAAAAAAAAAAACCCAGGGGGGGGGGAGAGAGTGGTTGATTGTACATAATGACCCCCGAGCCTCCCTGAACTCTATTTTATTTTATGATAGATATGACCACACTATTATATGTATACAATAAATTATTATAAATAGTTTATAATCATTTATTAAAAATTTGCAACTTACTTTTCATAAATTTATCTATGATATTTTGGCGGCAACATAATTTTGAAATTTCGTAAATCGTAGATTATGACGTTTGATTTTCAACCGACAAGTTTTGATTTTTATATTTACACCTAATTAAAACATGTACTACTAATTTTCCAACCTACTAAATCGTTGAACTACTCTATTTTTGACCTACTGTATTTTCAGTTTTATAACTACGCCTTTCCGGTATGTTTTTTGTATATTTTGTTGATTTGATTACGAGCCAAATTTGATCAACCTTGGCGCAGTGGTTGAAGCGCTGTCTTCAGAGTCGGGAGGTATAAGTTTCGATTAATGCTTAGAAAATCTAATGATTGTTAATTTGAAGAAAAACAATTCGTAGTTTAAAAAAATACCAGCGTTAAAAACACAGACCAGATAATCGGTTGAAAAATAATTTAACTCGAATCGGTTGAAAATGAAAATCTATAAAATAGGTCGAAAAATAAATCGGTCGAAAACGAAAACGTCATAAATCGGTTGAAAATAAAAAAGACTATTATCGGTTGAAAACAATTTAAGCCTTAATAGGTTATCTAAAAATTAGTTCCGCTTTTTAGTAGATGTTCTTTTTGTAGAACAACTCGGTAGGTCGAGATTTTTGTTGGTTTAACTGACACGGATATCTCGATATAATAATGCTTTTATGCATTATTATATTAAAAATAACTTTTTTTCATCGATGATTTATCATTTTTAATTTTTTTCAATAGAAAAAATTATTTATTTTATAGAAAGGTATAAATGCCGTCAGAGCTATTCGTCGATTTAGTTCATTTGGTATTGGTCATGCCCAAGTACAAAGTTCCAATAAGCCACGTATAAATCCTTCTACTATTACGAAAAATGTATCAGTGCCATCTAAAAATGTACGAAGATCTTTACAACCTACTATTTCAGAAGGAGACGAGGAGGATGGAGATGTTGGGAATGAAAATTCAGTCGACTCAAAAATGCAATTAAATTTCGAGAGGAGTTGGAGTGGTGATGTTAGTAACAAACTTGAACGATGTGGTGTTTTTCTCGAAGTTCCAGAAAGTTGTGAGTCAACAGTAGAAATTTCAGAAGACATTAATACTCCTGATGGTTTGAGAAAATATCTCCAACGGATGATCAATCAAGGTCATTTACCAGGCTCTGAGGGACCGTTTACTTCAGAGTTATATTACGAATAATCAATTATATAGCGATTAAAACAACTTAATATTTTAAGCATTTTACTAAATGTTGTTGCGTAATAAATTTTAAAATTAGAAATTGATAGAAATTGCGTAATAAATTTTTATAATTAGAAGTTGATAAAATAAATTAGAAGTTGTTGTATAAAATTTAATAACGTATGAGAACAAAACGTTTGGTTTTGTGAAATTGATAAAAATTATTTAACAATATTAAGATATATATGAAATAAAAGTTTAGGTGTATATTTTTGTAATATATTTGTTTTTTAAGCTTTTTCACTCATACAAAAATTATAAAAAGCTTGGAAAAAAATTCGAAACAATTCAACTTCCGGATATTTTACACAAACAATTTTCCGGATTTTCAAAGTATGACCATGATCTATAGTAATTGAAGGCCCCAAGAAAGTTATCTTGGTGACCCAAATAAAAAATAAATAAATTACTGGCCAAGCTTAGAAAAAAAGGCCCAAGCGGGGTCGCAAGTTTTGAATAGATCATTAGTAAAAATTAGAAATAAGAGAGCCCTAATATTAATCCTTGAGCAACTTTACATCTAATAGTTAAAAAATAAGATAATTTTCATTCACCTAAGCTAATAGCTTTCAATTAGATTAGACAAATTACTACATTTCCAGTTATTCCGGATGAATTTTCAAGTTGGGGTTTATAAGTTTCTTGCTGTTCTTTATTTTGCCAACCATTATAATGGCTATTAATTGCAATCATAATTTTTCTTTCTAAAGTGTCTTTTTTGTTCAATGTGCTAATGATTTTTTGTTTTTTATAAAACGAAGACTCGTTTTTTAAATCATTCTCAAAGTTGAGGTGACACCTTACTCTCTGAACACCAGCAGTTCCCTCATTAAAATACAACACAACTTAAGGTGAGTTTCCACTCATCCGTTTTTCTACGGGAAAGGGAAAGGGAACGGAAAAATAATCACGTGAGCATGCGCTGTTTTCTTTCGGACAAATAAAAACTTTTATTACGCATGCTCACGTGATTATTTTTTCCTTTCCTATCCCGTTCCCGTAGAAAAACGGATGAGTGGAAACTCGCCTTTAGTCCACTTCTTCCTCAAATCAACTTTTATGAATAAAAGTATTTTGGGATATCTGGACCGTAATATTGTTAAGTCCCTCAATATCCAGACGAATGTCTTCTTTTTTAACCCGAATGATTCTACTTTTTTTTCCTCATTCAACGGCCCCTACAATAATTTTCTAGTTTTTTTTCCTCATTCAACAGCCCCTACAATAACTTTCTACTTTTTTTTCTCATTAAACGGCCTCTACAATAATTTTCTACTTTTTTCCCTCATTCCACGGCCCCTACAGTAATTGAAAAAGACTTCAAAGTTAATGATTCACCCTTTAGATTGTGGTCAACAAGCCATGTAGCGAACGAGGTTTACAAGGAACGAGATTTATAATGTTATAATTTTTTGCATGACTACAATCTTATATCTCAAAATAAAGCACGAGATACAGCAATTACATCTAAAAACTCTAAAATCTATAGGTGAAACAAAATATAACATCGAAAATACTGATATATACATTGACAATATATGTATAAAAATCCTAAAACGAATTCTACGAAACCCAAATCATCCGCTATACAAAAAGACAAAAAATATATCTTAAATAACAACAAGACAAAATATCAACTTTGGGTTTAAGATGGAAATACGACATACAAAACTGGAAATACGAAATACAAAAATAGTTTTACCCAACAAACAAAGCCTCATATGAGAGTTGGGAAGCATAACTTGTACACTAGTTAATCAAAGCAACTACAAACTTAACCACCATAATTTGTGTGTATATATGTGTTAATGTTTGTATGTATCTATGTAAAAATTCAATAATTTTTACATTTTTAGACAAAATTTATTATTGAATTTAAATAAAGATCTATATATTAAAAAAAAGTTTTTAGGTTCTATTTAAAAAAACTTTGCTAGCACTAAAGAAACAGGAGTTTTAAGTTTTTGGGTTAAGGTGCTCTACATTTTCCTTCGCAATCAGGTTTGATATGTGGCTCTTCTGGTCATCACAAAATAGTCTTTTTTTCTTAAAACTTTTTTTCTTTTTTTTTTGTTTCCTATATATATAGAACTCTATTTATACAAAACTGATAACTTGAACGATACAGTATAAAAAGTTCAAAGTTTTGCTAATACCACAAGAAATTATCAAATGATATTATTTGATGAACCAAACAACTCGAGCAACTTACACACACTGCTGTCATATAAACGTTAGGCAAACTGTGCTAGGCTATTAAACTAATGTGTGTTAACCAAACCTTTGTTAGATTTGGTTAACCACGCAAAACCTAAATTTTCAAAAAAGGGCAATTACAAGCCTAAGTTAGTGTTGCTTGGGACAATTGTCCCAAGTAAAAAATTGTCCCAGGGTAAAATTTTTTGATTAAGCTTAAATAAAGTGGAATAATTCACAATATACTAAAATTTATCAAAATAGATTTCAGAAACATTTGCAGCTATGTTAAATCGTTTTAAATTTAAAAATAAAAAAAAACAAAAAAAAAAACAAGTTTAATGGGTAGCCATCTTGTTACAATGACTAGAAGGGTCGTCGATAGCTGTCACGCCGCCTGGGACAGCATCCTGATTGGCGCCTTTATTTATCAAATTTTCAGCTAACACAGCATACCAGATGGTATGCCGTGTTAGCTATATCAACCGGTTTTATCTTTCTTTCAAGGAAATGCCAAAAACTTTTATCCAGATTTTTACAAATGTGTCTTTGACAAAATTGATTCAATTTTTATAGGATTAAATACACAGTGTTCAATATTACTTGGATTTAAAGTGTGTAACCATATACTGTCGCATCTTTCTGGTCAATCAGTTCAGAACGATACAACTTCATCTGGGAAGGGTTTTGTACTTTCAAATAGGGATCGATCTGTTATTCCCTATTTATGTGGGTATGTTTTTAGCACATTATATCGTCGCATCAGGTTTTCAGATATTTATAAGTAAAAATTTCAAATTGTTTAAATACTTTAATGTTATATATCATTAGAAAGAAGATTTTTACAGTATTTTAAAGGTGAATTTATTGTTAAAATCGAACTGGTTTAAAAGTTATGACGGTTTAAATACGAATTTTTCAATAAGTGGATTTGTTGAAGAAACTGTGGTCAAAATAACGTTTTTCTTCACTTAAATTGTCATAACTTTGTCAGTTCTTATCAAAATACAAATATCTTAGTGTCAAAAGATTGGTGTATAAGTGGGCTACAACTTTATGTTAAACTCTAACCACTGGGCGTATCGGATGGACAGAGGGGGAACCAAACCACCACCTTGCTTGTATGAAACTGAACACTTTTTTCTGAAAAAAAGTTTTTTTTAAAGATATAAGCAATATAAATATACAAAAATTGTTCCAATTGTAAGATATTGTTTAAATTTACTGTGATGCTTTATTAAAATAAAACAAGTATGGAAAAGAATGTAAAGCTTATTTCCACGATACATCGTGGTAAATCATTATTATCTAAAAAATTTACAAAACCTTTTACATCGCCTTTTAAATCTTTAAATCTCATTTTGTTTATAACTAAAATAATCAAGGTTGCCATGCAGTCGTTTCCAAACAATTTGCATTTCTTATTTTCTAAAAACTTCAATGCTGAACGGCATTATGTGGCAATTGTATCAAGAGGGTGCAAATGGCAGTTCAGCTTATTTAGACTTTTCCCAAGGTTGCACATAATTTGCTTATGGTAAGATGATTAACAGCAACTCGGTCCGACATTGTGTTTGAAATGTTTTTAATAATTGAACTACAAGATTCGTTATAGCTGCACAAAATGCGAATAAATAAAAGCCATATGATCAATGGCATTACATATATGGTTTTCATAATCATAAGCTGTTCCACCAGGTAGTTGGTCCAGAGCAATAACTAGGCATTTATCTCTTGACGTCAAGTGAATACTTTTAATATGAACACTATCTTGTGTTGTAGCATCAAACCCAAGAGTAAGTTGACTATTGTTGATATTGTTGCAGGCAGCTGAATGGGCATTCAGCTGCCTGCAAGCTTGAAATACTGCCAAGCTCACAAGCCATTTGTTCAACGGTATTGCGATGTAGAATATCAGAAAAAACAAAACCCATACATTGTCCAATTTTCTGAATCACAAAAGGAATTTTACATGTGAGGACATTACATATTAACATATTATAAATAATCATTCTCATCTGTAATGAATATGTCTTTGCTTCTTCAGTCATGTTCAAAAGTGTAATTGCGTTCTCCTCTTTCTGTAGCAAGTCGTTTTCTAAAACAAGCAATTATTTTTATATTTGCCCTATTATCTGTGTTATGCTTTACCTTCATTTGCTGCAACTTTCTTTTTTTGATTGCATTTTAATTTCTTTATTGTAGCTGTATGATTTTGAATTTGTCAAGTATAATAATACATTTTCATTTTAGTTTTTAATTCTCTCAACTCTATTCTTAAATCCTTTATAATATCTTCTTTTCTTTTAATACTTTGTCTTAAAAGTTTTAGTTTATATTTAATTTAGACTTAATTATAGTTATATTTGTTCTGTATTTCTTAGAAGAGGTAGCTAACTGATTAGCTAAATTAGATAACCGAATCTTCAATAGATTTTCTCTCGAGAGAAAACTGTAATCAACTGATTACAGTTTTCATATATATCTCACCACTGTTAATTTAATTTAATTTAATTTAAAAACTTTATTTTTTGTTGATGGTTACAATAGTTTTAACAAAAATAAAACTAATTAAAATCAACACATTTAACAAAATTATAATATAAATTACAAATAACATTAAAATATTCAAATTCAAATTCAAATTACAACCGTTTCATTACAGAAAAATGAGTAAATATTGTATTATAATGTCAGGATAAATAAAAATAGAAATTAAAAACGACAGATTTTACAATAACAATTTTTTGCATACCAATTTTTAATATGTTTTTTGAACACCTCAGAACTTTTAGAGGACATGGTCTTGTTATCTAGAGTGTTCTATAACGAGATGGCTCTAAA